TTAGTTGATTATTTAAATAGTCGATTAATATGCTTAATTGTTTCAGCCCTAGTTAAAATACATGAAATGGGCTACACAGATTAACTACAGCCCGTATGAACAACTTGTATCGTAAAGTTAATATTTTAAATGCTCAGTGTCAGTTCCTATAATTCCAGTGCACATGTAAATACAATATATTTATTTGCGTCCCTTTAATGTATTATTTTGCATGATACAGAGAGAGCATATCAGATAAAAAATAAGAGTGGGGTTTACCTCTGCACAATTCTAGATCTTCAAAAGAAAACACAGGATAAATCCGCATATAACAGACATATTTAGACTATATTTGGTTAAATAGACACATATTTACTGCTGTCTAAGTCGCCTGTAAGTTTAAATGCAAACCTTTTCAAAGTGGAAAAAAGTCCTAATTCCACATTCATCAGAGCCAGTGATGCTTTAAACATTGATAAACAGCATCTAGTGTGTGTAGGGATTATAAGATTTGTATTAATATATCAAAAAAATGCTGATGTACTCTTTAACCAAAATGTGTCCTGATGCTCACATTAAACATAAAAAAAGAGCATGCATGTTTTTTGCATAGGACCAATGACATCAGACCAATGAAACTGAAGACCAACAGTGTCCCTACCAAAGTTGAAATCAAACCTACGCCGTTGCTTTAGCAGAGTTTTCCTCCCCCAAAAGAAGCTTTCACTGTAGAAGGTATCATCAGATAATGCAGTTATAAATTTTAAAGAATGATTTTTTCCCCCTCTCCCCTGTGTTGCTGAACAGTGCTGCAGAGGTTAAACATTGAGTTTATTCCCCTTTAGAGGTTGATGATTTTAGTGTTGCTATTTTCTCTGTACTGCCTTAGACAAAGCAGTCCCTTTGGAAGAGATAGAAATTAAAAATAGAAAGCTGGTTCCCAGGTTTAATGCAGAGCTCAGACATTTGAAATGCTAGGAAACATTAGAGAAAATAGCACTCTACATGCCTACAGGAATTCTAACTAGTCTGGAAAAACAGTTTACTGCTATATAAAATGACCCTTCGGAAGGCAAGAGGAGCATATTTCTCCTCATTAATAAAGGAGAATAAGAATAAACCTAGGTCACTTTTTAATATAGTTCCCAAACTCATCCAGAGCTATAGCTCTGTTGAACCATCCATCCCACCTCCCATTCTTGAGTAGTAGTATGCTGATAATTATCAGCTATATCTTTCTATAAATCCTGATAAAACTAATCCTTTACACAGACTAGAGGCATGTCTTGAAGACAAAAAACCTGGATACCTAGATGAAAATTGTTGTCTTTGGACCGGTCTTTGAAAAAGAAGCTGATTAGTTGGTCACTTTATTTGGATGAGATTAAATTGATCTCAGACAATAAAGTAAAAAATCTTGGCGTTATCTCCTCCTTTCATCAACGTGATATTGAAAAAAAAAAATAAAAATAGAAATATCTTAACCAGGGGTGATGCTGAGAAACTGGTCAATGCATTTGCTATGTCAAAGCTGGACACATTGCAATTCTTTGCTATCAGGAAGTCCACAAATTGTAGTTGAAAGCCTTCAGCTGATCCAAAATGCTGCACTACAATAAAAAAAGAGGGCTCATATCTCTCCTATCTTAGCTTATATTCATTGGCTTCCTTTTAAATCAAGATGGAATTTAAAATCCTCCTTCTCACATATAAAGCCTTAAATGGCCAATGGCTCCGTCTTAAATCAGAGATCTAATTGTGCCTTATGTTCCTAGCAGAGCACTTCGCTCTCACTGCAGGTTTACTAGTTGTTCCTACAATTCCTAAAAGTAGAATGGGAGGCGGATCTTTTAGTTATCGGGCTCCTCTCCTGTGGAACCAACTACCAGTTTTAGTCCATGAGGCAGACACCCTGTCTACTTTTAAGGCTTAAAACTTTCCTTTTTGAGATGTGCATTGAGATTACATGTGTTGTGATTTGGCGCTACATAAATATGCCGAATTTAATGGAATCTAAGTCAATCTGAATCATCAAACAAAACAAATTTGTATATGCTGTGTTATCAACAACAGAGTTTCAGGTTGGAGTCCGTCTGCAAATAGAATTTTAGAAACTCCCTTTTGGGTAATAACTAAGGACACTGGCACCTAAAATTAAGTAAAAGTCATCTACATCTTTGTGTTCATTTGCTGACCAAGAAGGGCACCTTGATTCAGATGTAAACTCACCATCTGGGAAAATAATACAGATGCAACTCAGCATTTCTGTATAACTTACCATATCCCTTCCACGGCACCCCAAAATAAAGGACGATTTCATCGACCACAGTGGTGTTCTAAGAACCTTCATGATTACTTGGTCTGATCTTTCTGTGGCAGCACATTTATTCTCTTTTACACCTGGTAAAACAGGTGACCTTAGAATGGAAACATCAGTTGCATTGGTATTATTCTGAACAGTGATATCATCAGTCATCTTTTATTCTGAAAGTTAGAAAAATCCAATAACCATCCAAAAAAAAGACTAAAAGATGTGCATTCAAAAAGAGGCAACCTTTATTGTAGAAATTTCTCTCAATTAAAGGAGCAATTTTGTTGACTTCAAGAGACAAAAGGTCAGCTTCTTTCCCTCTTTGTTTTTTTAAATTGAAGATTATGAAAGCAATAAATGTTGCAAAATCACTACCAAGAGAAGTAATAAAGAGAAAAAATAATTAATGCATTGTAATGGGGAAATTATTTTATACTTTATTTGTCTTTTTAAAAACCGGAACTGCTGCTTTGGGTCAAGTCCTCAAAACCATCTCCACAATTTGAGAAGAACAACAAAATATATGTCCCACTATATATTTTAAATATAAAAAAATCCAGCAGTGAAATAAATGATCTTTGTGTTCTCCCGGATTTTTCAACAGTAAATAGCAAAACAAAGCATGAATATATTGTGATTTCCCAGGATGCTATGAAATTTATGATTCTTCTGGTTATTTCTGAGTCTGACTTGAGTTTTGAGGGATTCTCCAGTTCTGTCGACTAACTGGATTCATTTTTAATCTCATCTAACTTTGCGTATAGATTTCTTAGAGTTATTTGGTCTTTAAGTTTAGATTCCCCATAGAGCTCCAACATTTCCTCCCAGAGAGTGATGGCTCGAGTGATTGTTCCACTTGAAGTATTGGGGTCGAAGCCTGGAGAAAAAATCTTCTTCACGTAGCAGATAGCTGCACATCTCTTTAAAACACGTGAGTCAGGATGTCTCTTCAGGGCCTCCTCAGCTAACTCAATAGCTTCATCTTTAGACATATACTTTCTGTACAGACGTAGTAGTGGGGTAATGCCATTGTAACGGCTTGTAGACCTCTCCAGGACCTTTTCAGCCAATCTTATAGCTTCATTCCGAATTTGTTCTCCTTTTGCAGCTCGTGCCTCCAAATAAAGAACAGCCACAAATAGGTTTTCTGGATCTCGTTCTGTGGCAGATCTCAGTTTCTCCAGGACATCAGGAGTCATTTTGTTCATGTTGCCCCAGAAGGCCTCTGCTGATAATATCACACAGCTGCTCTGCCATTCTATGTTTTCTGGCTGCATTTCTATGGCTCTCTGGAAGAGCTCTGCAGCCTTCTCCTTGTCAAACCTCATCAGGGCCCAGGCCTTCTCAGCACAGACCTCTGGGTGGAGCTCTTGCTCAGGTGGAGCCTTGTATTTACTCATCAGAGCTTCAACCTTTGACAGATAATCCTGACTTTTCTCATCTTCACCCATAAGATGATGCAGCCAAGCCAGATTCCCAAAGTTCACGATCAACCAGGGACCTTCATCAGAGTTTTTAAGCTGCTGGAAGGTCTTAGTGGCTCGGCTGCAGATGCTCAGGGCCTTTTCAGAGGAGCCCAGCTTGTACTGGATGTACCCCTGCAGGTTGTAGATGTGACCCAGCCAGAAATTTCCCTCCTCTGTGTCAATGTCCTCCAGGGTGTGCAGTATAATAGTAAGTCTCTCAATTCCAGGATTGAGCTTCCAGTTGAAATGGCACTGCAGGGCCTCCAGTTTGTTCTCCAGACTCAGATTAGAACTGACGAGACAATAAACATGACAGAAATTAACCTGCAGCAGTAGAAATGTTACTTGTGTGTAAAAGGTCAAAAAATAAAAGAGGTCAAAAAATGTGTTTAACCATTCTTGAACTTAAGGTCTTAATTAAGAACCAGGAATACAAAAAAAACTTTTTTTTTGTTAAGGACCCATAAAAACTGTCAAAATTCAATAACTAGAGCAGAAAAGTCTTTGTCTGCTTCAGTCACCAGTGTAAAAACTGATTATATATTTTACTAAGGGTGAAGAATTGCACAAAGTATTAGGTGGTGTACAAATTCTGGTGTTTCAAATAAGATAAAAATTTTAATATTACGTACCCTGATCACACAATAAAAGGTGTAATAGGTGGAAATAGGTTGAATGAAAAAACTGTAAGTCTATGAATTTGTAAAATCAACTTTATAGTATGTAAGAGTAGTGAAACTTTATCATTGTTTTAATTTGCGTAAAAGTAAAAAGGGCAATGCTCTAAAACTACTCCTAAAAGTACTTTTTCTAAAAAGTTACTCAAGTAAATGTAACTGAGTAAAGTATTTAGTTACTACCTACCTTTGTTTCGGATGCAATAATCCTCAATTGTTTTCCTAATGGAAGAGTGACAAAGAGTGCATTGCCAGGTGGTGCTGCAGAAGTCAGCTCTACTAGTATGAATTATTATTTCAGCCTGACATCAGTGCTCATGTTTATCAATGTATGCATTTAGACAGATTCTCAGCTTTTGAGTGAATAGAATAGACACTTCACTACATAAATTCTTTTTAACTGAAATTTTATTGATAGATTTCATTCAATAAGCATAGGAGTAGTCCCAGAGTCATTTTTAAGAACGAGAAAGAGAGTTTGTTGAAAGAGTGTGCCCCCCTGAAAACATGAAATGCCTGACTTTCATTTGTTTCTTCAGCCGGGTCTGTTTCAGTCATATGTTTCTGTCCGAGACATGATCAACATTGGTACGGTGAGCAAACTGGTCCGCTTCTGTTGATAATCCTGTGTAAAGGTTATAATCAATGATTAAAAATCGGTGCAAGTAAATGCAGCAAAAAGAGCGACTTACCACATCCTCCAGCTTTTTGGTGTCACTGATGATTAAAGCTTCCTCAGGCTCTGCTCTCTTATATTCTCTGAGGTGCAGCACCATAAAAATGTTTTATCACAGTCCTCGGTGTTAATGACCTTCAGCTGAAGGTACAAACTCTTGTTTCTCACTAAATGGAAACTAACAGAAATCAAACTGTCACTAAGAGATTGATTCCCAAGAAAATAATCACAGAGAACGTGACAGAGTTTCTGATTAGATATGTGCGTCTGTTCATAGTTTTATGCTTTTATAAGTAGGTCAGGAAAATTACTATCATGGAAACACATGACTTTTATTGCTGAGCTCTACCAGGAAACAGTAAACTTCTGCAACTTAGAAGATAAAAACAAAACAGCTTGTATTTCTGCTTGACTGAAAAACTGATTTTTACTTATTGGAGCCGTTTCTCGTATTGGATAAAAAATGTGAGCTTTTTCCTTTTAACTTGAAGCCAAACAGAAACCTTTAACTTATGTGTTTCAGTCAGATGTCAAAGACTGATATGTTGACATCTCTATGACCCTTCTGATATTTCAGGGCTTAGACTTAGACTAGACTTAGACAGATGTATTTGTCATTTTGTTTCCACAAGTTTTAAACTTTAGGTTACTTTCGTAACCCCGGTTCTCTGAGTAGCATGAGTGAGTGTCTCACATTGGGAACACCTCCAGCGTGACCTCATCAGAAGCTCCTTTCACATTACGCCAGCCAGGATTGGGTGGAAAATAAGCCTGTCCGTGTCAGAGAGGACAAGGGCTGACACTGTGCTTCCAGTTATTCAAAAGAATGACCACCTCTTCCTTGCAACGTTAGAGCAAGGAGGGTGGTTTGGTGAGACACTCACTCATGCTACTCAGAGAATCGGGGTTACGAAAGTAACCTAAAGTTCTCTTTCATAGCATTCGTTTC